ATCTCCTCATTCACCTTACCAGTCTACCAATTCAGTCTGAAGACCTCCGTCTCCAGACTGGATAAATTGACCGATCCGTTTTCTCTGGCTGCCGTATAGGTGACCTGGCCCATATAGTAGAACCCAGTATCTTACCAGCTCAGACACTGATGTTTCCCTACGGTTTGAGCTTTGTATAGTAAACTGGGGAAACAGATCAAGTATAAAGTGATAGTCAGATTTAAAAGCACAGGAAATGACGAACCACTTCGAAAATAAACTTGCGCGGTGCGACGAGAGAGCGCAGCATCCACCTCGATGGCGAGCCCCCAGGTAATATGGACCTCTGATTCCGCAGGCAGCGCTGGCGGCCTTACAGCAGGGGCGTTAGGTACGCCCCTGTTACCCTCACTTCATCGGGCAATATTCACGGCCCATCAAGCCGGGAACAAAGGCGGCGCGGGAACGCTGCCGAGCTTAGACGCCAGGGCCGTGGAAGGGGAGGGCAGGGGGACGCAGTGCAGTCGTTCAGTGTGTGAGGCACGGATCTCAAGTGCGCAGCCACGCACTGAAGCTTGGCAATTGGCCCGAACTGCGACATACCTGCTCAAAATGTGACCAAGCCTAAAACAGACCTGCACTAAGACGATAAGTCGCTTGTTCACATCTGTTTGCTGAGTTGTGTGTCCCTGTGACTGCTTCTCATCAAAGAAGACCCGCGGACTTGTGACGGTTTGTAGGACGGCGCTCTCCGTCACGTGTTAAGTGCAGCGCGTTCAAAAGTGCCCCATTGGCTCAACATGGGAGATGCGGGATTCACAACTTACCAAAAATTGCCGAATGGAGGAACAGCACCGAATTTCTGTCTCGGCGACGAGGGGTTACTGCGATACGAAATAACATTTTTTGATTGGAAAAAGGAACGTAGGGGCGGAAACAGGATTTCATCAAATATTTGGGGGAGGGGCACACATGATTGTGGGGACCCTGGAGTTTCTGGTTCCCTCCAAAAAAGAAAAGAGATGTGTGTTTCGGCAAGTACATTTCAAGATCTTTATGCATACTATTTGTTGTAAAGGAACCCATCCTCTTGTGCGCGACGCTAAAAAAGGTAGACGAAGTATACGGATTAAAAACACATGGGGCGCGTGCATTTTTTCTTTATCATGGTGGATCCTGTCATTTTGAGACTAAAACATTTTGGCGAATATATGACAATATTAACTTAAGTTGGCTGTTAGATGCATCAAAATAAAGCACAAATGCATCAACACATCATACATCAAAATAAAACACGGCATTTAGTTCCAAGGTTAATTACGGCCAGCCGGCCAGCCAACGTGGCCAGCTGATGGCTGATAATTCGTGCAGAATTTCAGCTTTGGTTGTAATGTAGGAGCACGAAATATCCTACCTCTTAAAACGTGCTCAGAAAGTATTGCACAGTTATAATAAGTGTCACAAATTTAGTAACCAGTGGAAATTACTCATGCGACGTCGACGGCGTGCAAAGGTATGCTCGGCAATCGCGCGTAAAAGTTAACCTGCGCAGATCCGACTGCTGCTCTAAAGATGAGGAGCGAAGGAAAATCAGATCCGTGTGAATCTCACGAATTGTTTATATGACACTATTTAATCAAACTCGCACATAGATTCCGACTTAATCGGAAGACTCCACGACCGATGTGGAGGGCCCCGGAGCGGCCAAGAGTGCCCCAGCCGATTGATATTAAGGTTCCCGTCAACGGCGTAGGCTCTCCGATAAAATGGGGAAACCCAAGACCCATAGGGAGGACATCTGTGTGATCCAGGGCCCCGCGGCAGGCCAGTAAAGAGGATCAATGGTTTTCTGCGTGCCAAAGTGCAATCTAAGCAATCAAATTCAGTGGAAGGCGATATGGACACCGCCGTAGGGCGTCGTTGTGGTCGGCTGTTAACGGAACATAAGGCTGCAGGTAACTCATATAACACTGTGCTTAATGTCATGTAGTACTTAATAACATGACACAGTTCCATTGGATTTACAACAAGCGCATGACAGGCCCATCAAACCACAGATTCATCTGCAAGCAGACATATCTGGATTTAAGGTGTTTCCCTTCTGGATGTTGGGTTGCCCGTAACCCGCCCGGTTTACCTTAGTCTTTCCAGTTTACCTGCGAGTCTGTGCTTTTTTCAGCTGATGCCCTTCTTTCGATCCTGCACGCTTACTAAAGATTCAACGTGGTGTTGCCCATATAGTATTATTTGTGTTAGATATCAATGATAGAAGCAGCAGACGCTTCGTATGTGGTTTAAATTAAAATGTTTGTGTTCCTTAAGATACACGCGCCTTAAGATGCCTCGCTTTAATTTGTGGATTGCTTACCTCGTGCGTGCCATTCAGCTGCAACTTCCTGTCGATGAGCTCCGTGAAGTTTGGCGTCCTTTGTTGAAGTGGCATTTACCTGGAGAACTGAAGAACTAGCATCTACCTGGAGAACTCAAAGAACCGGAGCAGCATCGACCCAGACCATCTCACGACTCTGTCGGAAGACGCTAAGAAATAGATGCTCAAAAGTTCTGTTGTGACATATTTGAAGAATTTCAGAACCGACAGTCGCAGCAAGAACAAGAGGATTAGGATGAGATCCTTTGTGGACAAGCCCATTCAGCAAAAGAACTTCAACTACCAACTCCTGTTAAGTAAAGTGCGGCATGGAATGCTGCAAGGAAGACAGCTCGAACAAACACTAGAGGTCTGCGAAGCGCGGAGAGTGCCCTAGTGCCCTCCAGCTCGCAATACCGCGCGAAATCGTTCCATTCATGCAACAACAATGTACTAGACAACAGCCTACAGAGGCATTGTGAACAGAGTCGTAACAAGTCGGGGAACGCGCCTGCAGACTGCAGCATGGGAGGCCCACGTTCGGTGCTCGGCTGGCGTTGTGGCCCCTGAGCGTTGATGGGGCCAATGATGGCCGCTGCCGCTCACCAGCAGGGCGCGCGGTGGTCACAGCGGTCCCAGAAAAACATTGTACATGCGGGGCTTCAGCAGGATCTATCGCTTTGGTAGATGTCGAAGCATGCCACCTCATGTAAACTAAACAAACTTTTCAGAGAAACCAATGTGCCTCGACTCGCGAGCAAAATATTGCAATATGTTGTAAGACTGGCCAGCAGCAGAAGGTCCTTGACTTCGAGAAGAAGACGACGCAGCTAAAGGTCCTTTTGTTGCAAAGCCATAGCCGGCCAGCCACCGAGTTCCATACAAGCCAGAACAAGTAACGATGCACCACGCTGGCAAGCTTCGAACTTGATTAACATAACTGAAACAACCTATTAGTTAACTGAAAACTTTTGTAGGGGCAGGATTGGCCCTAACACCGGCTGAATGGATTAAAATGTCGCCACGGAGTTTGGATTATTTCAAGAGAAGTTTGAAGTTAGAAGTCGTTGAAACTTCGCGAGAAGGTTGACCCGGAAATTCCATTATAAAACTTTTGGAAATTCCAAGTGGTAATTCTGGAACTTGTCGTCACGTTATTGGCTTTCCAACTTGGTTCGTTTTTCTTAACTTTTGTATTGTATTACCGGGCGGACATGGATGATTTCAAGTGGCCCGCCGATAACACTTCGCTTCTATCTTTGGTATGTTTCTGATGCACCAGAGCTCAGGTTTGGTTTGTGGACTTTAATCGTGTGTTACACAATGCGCATGCGATGTAACTGAATGCGGTGAAACTTTCTCACCTGCATATCTTATCGTCTCTGACCTACGCAACAATGTTTTTGGTTTTGGACAAAAAGATAAGACAGCAGTAAGAGTCTTACTCCTCGGACGAAAACCAGGAGAATGGAGATGTGGATGCGTTGATATTTCGGCAGCATGTCTTCATCGCAACAAAAGCAGAAGTGCTATTGTTTAAGTGATAAGCTTCTCCTACTTTTTATAGAGGCACGTTGCCGAAATATCGACGCATCCACATTTCCATTCTCCTAGTTTTTCTGCGAGGAATAATGCTTTCACTGCCGTCTTAGCTCCGTGCATAGTGTTCCTCGCAAATGCACTGAACAACTTATGCAATTTTGGACGAACTGCTTACTTGCTAAACTTAGAGCAGCAGGGTTGAGAACGGTAACTAAAAAATTAAGCCAAATAAAAATTAGAAGTGATATCACCTTTAACGACATTATGTAAACACGGGCAGTTGTCTTGATGTAAACCTACAAACAGGTTGGCAGCCGCAGATATCGGGCACTGAAGGTAATAGCATTACTTTCTGTTCGTGCACTTTTTACGATAAACAATTAGTGTGTCACTGATGTATCATATGTCCGAGCCAATTTCTGGAGTTGGCATATTACCTTCCTCCAGTTTGAAAAGTTTTGAGGCCAAGCTTCCTGTACCGGTTTGTTGAAGAATTTTCCAAGTACATGCAAAACAATGTTATGCTCGCGTTGAAATATTTAACTCTGTTTTCACGAATATCACTGCAGCATCATTGGCAAAGAAATTAAGATCGGCAATTGATAAAATGATTTTAAACATGATATCTAATTATTTTACACTGGCGTAAACTTTAGCCTGAGCTTGAGAACATATGCTACATATGCTACATGTATGCAAAACATTTTTGTCATTGAAGCTAGGTATCAAGAACCCTAGTGCGACAAGTGCCACTGATCAAATGCACAACTGCGCTGCAGGAATTATGACGTGCCGATAAAGGGAACCGATTCATGGATCTAAATTATGGAACATTTTAATCAAATCCGGTCAACAACAGAGTTGTCCACCTGCACAATTTTTTTCAGCACGAACAAAATATTTTACTTTTAATGTCGTTTCTGTTATTCTGTCATCATTATAATGTTTTGCCAGCTTTCGCAGAGCAACAGGAAGATTATGATATCAAAGAGTGTGCTTTTAAGCCGAAAAACCTCAGATACCTGAAAGAAGGCATTCTTATGGTCTGTATTTTGTAGCACCATTATGGACTAAAACTCTGTCATAATCAGGCTCACCACGGCGTACTCACCTCTCATGGCGCGAATGCTAATGCCAAAATTGTGCACAATTATTGACGTTAGCTCCAGAATCCTAGCCATAGGGCAGAAAACAGTAAAAATGGTCCAACCGTCTTCATACTAAATCCATCAGCGACTTCTCAGTACGCTCGATACCAGGTACAAATGGTTTGTCCATCGCACAAAGAAATGCAGGTTTAATCGATTATCTGGTGCTTGTGCATGGTGGTCAACCATCCGCGATGTCCTCGACCTTTCACGGCTCTGGAGTCCCACATTTGCTCCGTCCGATGCAGCGCCTTCTCCAGGCCGCAGTGCGGGGGCGTTCGCGCGACTCAGGGTGCGGCGTTTCCGGGCCAGACATAGTTCTGAATGCCGCGTTTGGTAACTCACGCATGCATCTGCAAGCTCTCACAACCGAGCGCGCTGCCACAGAAGCAGTACAGTACGGCGCTCGTACCATCGCCGGTGCGGGTTTTCCAGCTTGCCGCCTCTGACGCCTGGTCAGCAATATTATCACTACAGCCAGCAGCAGCGTTGATTGATTCTCTCCGCCCGTGTCTGGAATCCGCGCGCCACTCTGACGGCCGGCGGCCGGAACCGCGCGCTAAGCCCCCTCTTACGGCGCACCTCATAATCTGGCCTGAGCCCCGGCCACGGGGAACACCAATCCAATTACTCGGTGTACGGGACGTGTCGGGATCATGGCCCCTCGAGACCAATCTGAACTGGTCACCGGCGCGGAACGTGCAGAGAGTTGTCGCCGAGGCGGCGCTCTCGTCCGGTGATGATTACCAGCGCCGCAGACAGGACCCGGGCCTCAGCCGCCGGCCAGGGCCTCGTCCGGTGATGATTACCGGCGCCGCAGACTGGACCCGGGCCTCCGCCGCCGGCCAGGCCTCTCAGGGCCTCGCCCAGTGATGATTACCGGCACCGCAGACTGGACCCGGGCCTCCACCGCCGGCGAGACCTCCCAGGACCTTGCCCAGCGATGACTACTGGTGCTGCAGACTGGACCCGGGCCTCCGCCGCCGGGCAGGCCCCTCAGGGCCTCGCCCGGTGATGATTACCAGCGCTGCAGACTGGACCCGGGTCTCGGCCGCTGGCGAGACCTCTAAGGGCCTGGCAATAATCTATGTAATACTCAGGGCGTCCTGGGTGCTCGGACCAGAACCACCTAGAGCTGGGCACTCGCAGAAGAGGGAACTAGGAGGCGTACGAAACAGTCTGTGCGCTAGGCGAAGTTGAACAACTGCAGCAACTGGTTTGGTTATATATATATATATATATATATATATATATATATATATATATATATATGTATGTATAATGTGTGTGTGTGTGTGTGTGTGTGTGTGTGTGTGTGTGTGTGTGTGTGTGTGTGTGTGTGTGTGTGTGTGTGTGTGTGTGTGTGTGTGTGTGTGTGTGTGTGTGTGTGTGTGTGTGTGTGTGTGTGTGTGTGTGTGTGTGTGTGTGTGTGTGTGTGTGTGTGTGTGTGTGTGTGTGTGTGTGTGTGTGTGTGTGTGTGTGTGTGTGTGTGTGTGTGTGTGTGTGTGTGTGTGTGTGTGTGTGTGTGTGTGTGTGTGTGTGTGTGTGTGTGTGTGTGTGTGTGTGTGTGTGTGTGTGTGTGTGTGTGTGTGTGTGTGTGTGTGTGCGTGTATGTGATGACTTATACGGTGCTCACGTTTACACATGATCGCACAGTACAATGCCCACAATGTGTTTATGAGACATGATGGTCAGTAAATGATATATAAGACGCATACGACAAAGAAAATCGCATTTATCCACGAACAATAAAAGACAAAGCTGACAGAGGGAAAATGCAAAGTTGGTTCCTGTCACCTGAACCCCCGCTCGCTGAACAGTGCGGCGCTAGTGTGCTGCCTTACTCCGATGACAGGCTATCCCAAGCGCTCGCTCCCGGTAGAGAAGCTGTGCCAGGCGGATTCTATTCGGGCTCTGCAGGTAACAGCAGCTGTTTGTCCTCTGCAGCACGCGTGCGGCGGGCGGACACGTCACAGCGTCGGAGCGGTCGCTCGCGCAGCAGTTCAGATGAACACGGGTCAGTGATGAGATGCCGCATGCTGGCGATATTACGATCGGTGTTTCCTGAAATTCGGACCACCCTAGCTCTCGCAGTAATGGATCGCATAGTCAAGTCGGTTAAGGCCAGTCGCAATACGGACGTCAAAGTTGATCGCCTTCTGCATGCGCTCTCTTTACACTGACGTACAATTTACCACACGGTTACCACACGGTGCCGTAACCTATGTGAGGAGAGAGGGGAGCTTCTACCAGCATACGCCAGATATAAATCGGTGGTTTGTGGCGGATTCTGGCCAGTCCCGCCAAGACTCAGTGGCACCGCTGAGCAGCAGAGGCTATAAGTACATTCCGCGTCAGGTGTGAGCCGATGGTGACACCCAAGACCTTGACACTTTGTGAGGGTGATATTTTATCATTGCTGAAACGGATCAAGAAATTGACATCGAAGTTCTGGCGCCGAGACTTTAAGATCATAAGCTTACTCTTAGATGGATTGATTTTCAGTCGGTTCTGAGCGAACCACCGCAGTTCCACGCGGCGGAAACATTTGACACGAGTTTTTAGAGCCTGAACGCTTGTTGAACTTTTGGTATCAAAGAACTGGGTGTCGTCTGCGCACATCACAACCTTACGATGTGAGATATGCTGCGGTAGGAAATTGGGGAAGATTATAAATAGAACTGGCTGCAGGATGGGCCTTTGGAACTCTCCGTGTACCACATCCAGCGTGCCGCGCACAGTGAGTGTACGCGACGCGCCTCGCATAGTCTTGGTACGTCCTCACAGCCACGCCAAGAAGCAATTCGGATGGATGCCATACCAGCCGAGCTTGTCCAGGAAATGGCCATATCCAACGCTGTCAAATGCTTTGAAGATGTCAGCTTTGACAAGTGGCGTTACCGTGCCTCTGTAAATGGTGTCAATGCGAAAGGGACAGCGCTTAGCAGGACCGCCTCCATAAACAAGCCCGGCCGGAACTCGTACTGCTGCGTGCGCAGTAGATGGTGGTGCGTCTGGTACGTCATTAAGTGTGTGCATGCCACTCGTTCACACACTTGGACAAAAAAATTGATATTGCCCGGCATTTATCGGGATACCTGGCGTCGCCTTTCTTACAGAGCGCGGCCAAGGTAGCCGCTTTCCACTGAGCGGGAAGGTAACAGTTAACGATGCAGTGGTTGACGAGTCTGAGCAAATGGGAGCCCACGATTGGGAATGTCATTCTCAACATCTGGATGGCGATGCCGGCATATCCACAGACACGAGACGTGCCCATGCGCTGCAGCGCCGCAGACAATTCCGGTGGAGTGGCGGGACGCGGTGCGAACGCGCCGGCGCGACAAGCACCGTGGGCGCGGCGGTAACGGCTCTCCAGCGTCCCCCTCCGCCAGGGCGTCCACCACGCCAGATACGGCGGACGCAAAGAGACGGTTCGTTCGGTTGACCCGTTGCGGGTCTGTGTCTGCTGCACTGGTCGTCCTCGGTTCTGCCGTCTTAGATGAGATGAGGCACTGTCGGATGTGCTTCCAAGTCTTGGGTCGCGAATTCTTGAAAAAGTGTCGTAGTGAGAAGAGCACGCTTTGTTCAGGGCCATGTTCAATGTGTTTCCGCGCTCCCAGAACTCTCGCGAGTGTCCTTACCTGGAGAGTGACCTCGATCGGTCCGTGCCTGGTCTCTAGCTTCTACAGCCTCCCCCATTGTGTCGTCCTCCAGCCATGGATACGGTCGGTGCTTCAACTTGATGGTTCGCATCAGCACGTGCTGGTTGATGCTGGGGAGCCACACGACCAGCAAGCTGTTCCATTTGTGTGTGGAGGCGTCAGCTTGGCCTAACTGCGTCCAGTCTGCCTGAAGGAGGGTCAGGCAGAGGGCGTTCTGGCTCACGCGCCATATAAATCGCACGGTGATGGCTTTAGGGGCGCGTCGAGTTTTGACGTCGGCGATGGCCACAGTGACGAGCTTGTGATCGCTGATGTTCCAGGGAGTCGCGCTTGCGTCAGATGTCATGTCCGGCCTGTTAATAATTAGATGATCAATGAGTAATGGCATGGGTCCATGGTGAGCCGGCCTGGTGATCAGTTGGTGCAGTGACAGGTCACTCAGGTGCTGTATGTACAGTGATACACTTTGTTTTGTAGGGTGCAGAATGTCGAAGTTGACATCGCCAAGTAGGTGTGTTTGATGGCATTGTGCCAGGACACCAGGATGTGCTTCCGTTGGTGATGGTGGTCGTCGATGGCTAGTGCAGACGGACTCGATGGAGGACGGTACACGGCGCCAAGGACGATTGGGATCCGGCTGCACGGAGCAGGGAGCAATGCCCCATTGCTCCCTGTAGATGGCGCCACCAGTCGCTGAACATGACCAGGGCAGGTCACGGCCGGGCTGCCGCACCGCAGCCGACCGGCCCGCCGAAGGCCAGCAGCGCAGACGCCCCCAGGCGGCCCGCAGAAGGGGACGCGCCAACAGCGGACGCCGCCGCCCCCCGTCGCGGTCCATACGGTTTCGCTGCATCTGAGCTCGCTGTCCAGCGCGCGAGCTACGGTCTATTCCTCGTTGGGGCCGGTGAGACACACACCAGCCCGCTCCGAATGCGGCGGCTTCGTCATCCGAAGGCCTGAATCCGCTCTCGCGAAGCCAGAAGGGACGCAGCGGCGGCGGCCGCTTGCCTTGTTCCGGCAACAGGTCGCTCGCCCGATGACAAGATCGGTAGAGAGCGATCGGTCGGCCTGATTGGTCCAGACGGGCGCCATACCCCTGCCGGAATGGGTAGAATGCTGAGTCATCAAGCGCGATCGCGCTTATGGAGCGATCATTGACGTCCACGCGGTCTGGTAGTTAAAAAAGGTTAAAAAACGGCACGGAAATATAGAAGAAGCCACGGGAATGCCACTAGCGGCATCAAAAAGCTATTTACTCACTGCCATCACGTCACGGTCGGGTGCCTGCACACTTTTGCCATGAAACGT